GCTAAATAATAAAATAAATATAAATATACTTTTTAATGGAAAACATGTTAAATATAACTTAGGTATGTACTTATTTCAAAGGTATTCCCATCTAGCATGATAGACGATATACATTCTTCACTCGTAATCTTTGTTTTCACACATTGAAGTGATTCGTGTTTGGTCATTTTTCTGAAAGAAGTAGTCAAACTCATTTGTGATTGCATAATGGTTCAAAGCTCTTCTTAAATCAATCACATTTTTAAATTTTATGCTCATTTTCATGCTTAGATTATTCTTACTAAATGAGTAAGCTTCATCATCATCATTCATTATCCCCATCTTCATTATCAAAACTAAGATAACTATAATAACTTTCTTTGTCAGGACAATAGTATGAAACATCATGTGGTTCATCTATGTTGTCACAAAAATGGTTACTTGGGAGAGATTATTTGAGTCGTGGTTATTATTTGTTGTGACATTAATGGTTACTTATTTCTCGTCTTCATCCATGCTAAGAATAACCATGAATTTTTCATCGAAATCAAAGATTAATAGACAATTGGTCATGTGCATACTGAAAATAGAAAATTTTGCTTTGTTTTTTTTTTTTGATGAATAATACCTTATGACTTCTTCATTTAGTTGAGTTAAGTTGTGTTACCATGTGATATGTAAATGCACTTTTGAGAGACAAAACATTATGTATTCCTACAAGTGTTTTTTCTCCAGCTGAAAGAAACCTCCATATTTTAATTTTATCTTGTATTTGTTTGATGGTTTACTAACAGAAACATTATCGATTAGTCGAGAATCAACCATGTTTTCTCATATTGATTTCAATGGGTCATCAAGGGTAATATCTAAAGTATCATCCATCTATTGAGTGAAAATTAACAAAAAATCACATAATTAATCAATGAAAATCAGTAAGAACACAATGTACAAATTAATTAATTGAGACTGATAATTTGTCTTAGTCAATCAGGATTGATAACTCATTTATTAGGATTAATAATCAATTTTAATCAATAAAAAATACAATAGTAAAACCTTGACTCGCTGCTGATCAGGAATGATAATATTCGATAATCGGTAGTTAAAAATGCATTTAATGAAAATCGGAGAATGGTAATCACCATTCTCTAATTTCATCATATGTTTTGCTATTGATCAGGATATTACCATTATCTAATTGCATGAAATTAGATAATGATAATAAACAATTAAATGGAAGATATTTTATATATTATCTTCCATTTAATCTAAAGTATCCTAAAATAACATGGTCATACAACTTGAGTCAACCAAATGAAGAAGTTATAAGGTGTTATTCATCAAAGATGAATCTAGAATTTTCAATTTCCTATGTAGACAACTTAGCATGGCTCAAATAATCCCTGTCCGAGTAACAACTTATGTGACAATATAGACGATCTACCTGATTATTTTTACTCATAGACGATCTACCATATTAGATCTCATAATGAAGATGTCCAATGAATGATGATGATGACATTTACTCATTTACTAAGAATAGTTAAAGCATTAAATTGGATACAAATTTTTGAAATGTGGTTAGTTTTAGGAGAGCTATGAACCATTATTCAAACACAAATGAGTTTGACTACTTCATTTTGAAAAGTAACCAAACACAATTCACTACAAGGTGTAAATACATAGATTGCGAGTGAAATATTTATGTGTCTATTATGCAAGGCGATATTACCTTTGAAGTAAGTACATACCTAAGTTATATTTAGCACGTTTTCCATTGAAAAGTATATTTATGTTTATTTCATCATTTAGCCTATTGTGTGCTTGAATCAGAAAATACACAATAATAGGGATGGTTTATTAAGTCACTTAAAAAACAATTGGAACCCCGAGTGTCCTTCTATCTCATCAGACATGCAAAAGGGGGTTATAAATGATTATCATCAACGTTTATCCTAATGTTGAGCACAAAGAATGTATTAGACACTTATATAGCAATTTCAAGAAAGTAGTGATGTAAGTCAAGTTGTCATCACATATCTATATAACAAGAAAAAGATAGAGTTGAAGCATATTTGGCACAACTTCCAAGTGTGTTCATCGAAACCCTAAAAAACACAAGTGCCAGCTGTTTAGGGCTAGAATCATGGTGATAAAAGTGAATGATGGTGGTAGTTTTTTGATGGTTGTGAAGGAAGAAAAACGGTGGCGTTTGTGGTGGCTTTGGAGAGTAGATTGTTGTCAATTTATTCCTTTAGCAAAATAGATGTCAACTATTGTAGTGGTCTTCCACAAGGAATTTCGGTCGAGTGTCTGTAGTAGATATGTGAAGGGCGGGTCATCGTTTCTTGAGATCGGGGGAGAAGGTCGTCAGTCATGAGAGAAAGATGAAGGATGAACATCGATGAGAGAAAGAGTGGCAGAGGAGGCATTGTGTCTCTAATATCTAGGCTTGGAATTCTTGATAAACAATCAACCATTTTTCTTCTAAACATACTTAAAAATTAATTAAATATACATTGTTTGTTGGGTTTATTTTCAAACCATGTAATTTCACACACACATAAATATGATGTCAACAATTTAGGCTTGTAAATGAAAAAGAATTTTTTTAATATAGCATTAAATTAAATATGATAATGTTATGTAATTATCTAAAAATCTTTACACAAAAAATATAAAAATATGTATATTGTTAAAAAATATACAAAACAAAAACTATTGATATTACATACTAACAAGAATTATTCCAGTAATAAATTACATACCAAGTTCAAAATTTTCGGCACCGGGACACGTTTACGTATGGTCAAACATAGTAGTTGTTTGAGTTTTGTATGTTTGAGATGACATTGAACATAACAGAGTTCTCATTTGGATGCTTGGTTGTAACGTATGTATGAATAAAATAAAATGAATATGTCATTTTTTGTTTAATGTTTTATTTATAATTTACAAAACTACTAGTATATTACATATCTCAGAGAGACAATGTAGGAAGACATCCCACACATCCCATAGTGGCCATTATTTTTGTACATGAATTTGGTGAGATGTGTATTCTCCTTGAATCATTTCCGAGTTGATGAATTTCACCAAGACCACCCCACATATCAAAATTACAAAATTTTCTTTGGTGATAGGGAAATATTTATACAAAATCACACAATATTTACTCTCTTGGCAAACGATATCGCAAATTCATTTCCACTTTATCTGTTGTTATCTTTTATCACAAGCCTCACACGAGATAGTAGTCGTCGAAAAATGATCGGTAGATTTAGATATTTTATTATATATATATTTTTTATGCATTGCATACGACAAATTAATCTTATACTAAATTTGGTATGTTTTAGATGTTGCATGTGACAACTTAATTTTATACTAAATTCGATTATATCTTGCGATGACAATCAACAAAGCTTAGGGACAAACAATTACAAATGTAGATATTTATCTTCTACAATCGGTTTTCTCGTATGGACAACTTTATGTAGCATTATCTAGAGGGATATAACGTGTCAATACAAAAGTATTAGCAAACCATTACTAACAATTCAACGAAAATGAAATCTATAATATATCAAATTTGGTGTATAAAAAGTGTTGTACGATTAATAATTCGTAATCAATCATGTGTTCCTGTAGCGTTTGACAAAATCAGAAATTTTTATTTTTAATTCTTATTGATTTTGTTTTCTGCTAGCATGAATCTCATTGATAATTGTTTAGAATTATTAAACTATTTGTGCAAAAGAACTGATCGCCTCTAGAAATTAATTTTTGTAAAAACTGTTTGCACTCTATACAATTATCGATAATAGTCATGCTAGCAAAAACGAAATCAATAAGAATTAAAATTGAAAAGTTGGGATTCTTTACAAACATACAAGAACACACGATTGATTATGAATTATTAATCGTGCAACACTTCTTTATACACCCACATTTGACATATAGATTTTATTGAATTGAATTGTTTGTCAGGGTTCACTAATACTTTTGTATTGATATGTGATATCCCTCCGAATAATGCCACATGAAGTTGGCAATGCGAGAAGACCGATTCTGGAAGATAAATACCTACATTTGTAATTGTTTGTCCATGAGCTTTATTGACTGTTATCGCGAAACATAATCGAATTTAGTATAAAATTAAGTTGTTGTATACAACATCTAAAACATACCAAATTTAGTATAAGATTAATTTGTCGTATGCAATGCTTGTGATAGAAGACAACAACGGATAAAATGGAAATGAATTTGCGACATCGTTTGCCAAGAGAGTAAATATTATTTTATTTTATTTTAATATTGCTCAATCACCAAAGAAAAGATTGTAATTTTGATGTGTCGTGGTCTAGGTAAAATTCATCAACTCGGAAATGATTCAAGGAGAATACACATCCGAGCAAATTCATGTTAAAAATAATGGTCACTGTGGGATGTCTGCCAACATTTTGTCTCTATGAGATATGTAATATACTAGTAGTTATGTAAATTATAAATAAAACATTAAACAAAAATGACATTCATTTTATTGTATTCATACCTACATTACCATCAAACATCCAAATGAGAACTCTATTATATTCAACGTCATCCCAAACATACAAAACGCGAACAACTACTACGTTCGACCATATGTAAATGTGTCGCATTGTTGAAAATTTTGAACAGTGGTATGTAAATCTATTGCTCGAATATTTCATGTTAGTATGTAATATCAATAGTTTTGTTTTGTATATTTGTAAACTATATACATATTTTATTATTATATATATATTAAAGTTGTGAAAAGTTTTAACAGCAAACATGAGATATTTTGTCAAATTTTGGTCCCTTAAATTACATTTCCGGGACCAAAATTTGGCAAAATATCTCATGTTTACTGTTAAAATTTTTTCACAACTTTAATATATATATTAATCCCTTAAATTACATTTCCAGTCCCTCTATTTTTGTTTGTGTGTCACAGTTTGCTTTAACTAGGTACTGTTCATGGGTTAGTTAGTCCACCAGGGTCACCGCCTCCTTCAATTACCCTTCTGTTCTCACTCTTCGTCTCCACCTTTTCTCGCTTCTTCTTCACCACCGGTCCAGACCCGTTTTCTACTTGCTCCAGGTATGTTTTCCATGCTTGCGTTCTGACCTCCACCGCCTCCTCTCACTTCCGCTGTCGGCCTCCTCTATCCTTCATTCACACCCATCTCCACCGCCTCACAGTAGTCGGTTGGCCGAGGAAGTAGTGAAGCCGAGGAGATGGCCCTGTCTGTAACACCGGTGGCCATGTTGCCACCGCTCCCCTCTTCTACAATTCCTTATCGGCCCATTTGATTCAGAAAGAACGAAGGAGAGGTTTTATTTAACTGTGTTTTTAGGTGACCGCCTCAAATTGAGTAATTTTGTTCTTCAAGATTGTGTGTATTTTGAACGACTGGAAAAGAACGCCCAAGATGAGAGACTGGACATTGTCAACCAATGAGGTACCCTCGCTGCTCTCTTTGTCGCTTCCTGTTCCTGCTACTTCCCCTAATTGCACCCTATAGGTATGATTTGATTGTTTCTAATGCTATCTATCTTCCAAACTCGATTTTCCTCGATGTTACGTCTTCCACAGATCCTCCAATTTCTTTCGACGACAACAACTCAGTCCGTCCAACTCCTTCGGCATATGAGTTCGAGTCAGGTGGGGAAGCAACGCATCAGGTATGTGGGGAGGTCCTCCAATCATTTCAATTTTTCTACATACGATACACTTAAATTGGAAGTCAATTTTTTTAAGTGTGGTTTAGGTTAAATCGGTTGTGCCCCCAAAGATTTCATGAAGACTAAGATTGATGAAATGAATCTTCTGATTACTTCAGTTCGAACCAAATTTCTTAAAATCTCAGAGTAATTTCTGACTTTTATTGAATGCACATCCTTTATCTAATCTTTACTCAAATTTTTTAGGTTTTCTACAACAAGTTGTCTTACTGTCGATGGATTGAAATGTTTATCGAGGCTTTCTCATGAAGTTGAATATGATGATTCTTTTCCTATATAAAGAAAGGTAAAATACCCTTCCTAACCCCCAACCTTGCATAATAACTAAACTAACAGTTGAATCTTTGATGAAAAAAGGTTACAAATTGACCAAATGATAAAAGGGTAAACATGGAAAACTATAATACAAATTGTTATATAGATTCAAGATTCTGATGATTTCAAAAAGAGTAGTGAGTAGCATGAATTGATTGCCTGTCATAAAATGTGTAAGAACTTCCCTTGCATTATTGAGAGACTGCATATTGAAAAAATCAGAATAAGGATTTTCGGATTTTCAAATTATAACTTGAAATGATATGGCGCATACATTATCAAGAAAAATGTGAACCTTTTTGTCATTTCATGGATTAGGTTTTTATGTTCAATCATAATTGGGTTATTCAAATATATACGCTTTGATTCTGCATCATAAAGATCCTTACAAGTAACAACATAGCCTTAATAATAACTATAAAATTCTGATTACTGGCCAATTTTGACTTAATGGACTTAAATGTGGTACTTGATTGTAATAAAAAAGACACTAAATAATTTTGAACGAATAATAAAAATAGAAAAAAAAGACATGAAATTTGATATAATTTACTATATAGTTAATTATTTCTTTTTGTGATACTGCGGAATACAAGTGGCCTAACTTATGAGAACAAAGAGCTCAAGTTGCGGTTACAAGCCATGGAACAACAAGCAAAACTCAGAGATGGTAATTATCATAATTAACATATGTTGATTTTCATTTTGTATATTTAATATATTGGATTAGTTAGTTAAAAAAAATAATCGAAACGAAATGAAAGTAAGATCCTATAGTAAACAAACAAATGAAAGCATGTTGCTATTTTTTTCATTCATCCTTATTAATCTTTGTAAACTTATATTACTTTGTCTTTAAATGATTCCCTTCCTACATGATGTAGATGCCACCTCATAAAAAAAAATTTCATGTAAGCAAATCAAACTTCCTAACCGCGTTTTATAGATTTGTAATGGCTGAAACAAAAAAAAAACTATATAGCCATGGCTTTTATACAAATAATTTTTCCATATTACTTTTTTAGGTTTAAGCTTGATGATGTAATGTTTTTTTGTGTACTTTTCCCTTTTCTATGTTAAGTATTTTTGTTCCTAAGTGGTGTAGTTCTTTTTTCTCTCTCAACAGGATATTGTTGTTGATGCTGATATGTTTCATGGAACTACTGGCATAATGTTCTGTTTTTGAAGATCATTGATTGAATAACTTCTCTATATTCGATTCCATCACAGCAGCACAACTCCTCATGACAAAGGAATCGGAATCAACTCAGCACTACTCCTTAAAGAAGATTTTAAGCCATAGATTGGAAGAAAATAGGATGTGGAAATAGAGCACCCTATACTAAAAATAATGTAATGTATCACATTCTCTACTTCTTTTACTATTTATTCTATCATATAATGACACTCAATTAGCACTACCACATCCATCCATGTGTAGATGTTTGTTGATCCTTCATCGATTTCAATCCAATTGATGTTCCAAAGGCATGGATTTGGAATTTTACAGTGTCCAGAATTACAAAAAAATAGTCAGAATAGGACTTCCAGTTGGGAAACCATATCGAAACCTTCTGACCCCCGCGTAGCGGGGGTAACCTCTCTAGTTATTATTATTTTTGTAAAGTCTTTTAAATAATTACATAACATTGTCATATTTAATTTAATGCTATATAAAATATCTTTTTTTCATTTACAAACCTAAATTGTTGATGTCATATTTATGTGTATGTTTGAAGTTACATGGTTTTAAAATAAACGACAAACAATGTACGTTCAATTAATTTTTAACCATGTTTAGAAAAAAAAAATTGATTGTGTATCAAGACTTCCAAGCCTCGAAAGTAGAGACATAATGCCTCCTCTACCACTATATCTCTCATTCAGGTTCCTCCCTTAATCTTTCTCTCGTAACCGACGACCTTCTCCTCCGATCTACCATAACGATGACCCACCCCTTCACCGATCTGCGCTCCAGACACTCATCCGACATTCCTTTTGGAATATAATTACAACCATTGACATATATTTTGTTGAAGGAATCAATCTACAACAATCTACTCTCCAAAGCCACCACAAACACCACCTTTATCACCATGATTCTAAACCTAAACAACTGACATTTGAGTTTTTTAGGGTTTCGACGAAGCCGGAGCAAGATTTACCTAAGACTAAGGTGAATTCAACATGAATATTCTTAGGGTTTACGATCCATTCCCTTAATGAATCTACCGCCACCTCCTGGCCAGGTAATATTTTGTTTGGTGATACCATTCACCCTCACATGTTTGTTTGATGTTTGTACATCATTTGGAGACCTAACTTCATCTTTTTTATTTTTTATTTTTTTTTTGGATTATGGTGGTAAGGGCTAGAAGATTTACACGATGGAAAACTTAAATATATGATTTCAATATTTATTTAGTTTGTGTTGTTTTGAACAGATGAAACATGTTTCAGCAATGATTGTTCTTAAAGGCTTTGGTGGAGTTGGCTTCATATTTGATATGGCTATGCCTTTGCCATTTTGTTTGTAATTAACCATATAATTTCATGAATTGAGTGTCACATCTACAAATTGAATATAATTAATGCTTAAGTTTCTTAATTGATATATCTAGGTTTTGCATCATTTTGTTTTTAAACTTGTATTGTATGATTTCTACAATTATGATGTTGAAGACTAAGAATTTTGTGGCTATAGGAACAATATACAAACTCTAGAACGGGTAAGCAAAATCTTGACTTTTCAAACTCTTGTTTACAATGATATAGTTTGTGTGTGTGAGAGTTGCATGGGCATGTATGTCTGAGGTTATGGATATTTTCAAACTTGAACAAGTATGTCTTTCATGAAATCGAACAACTCACGTATAATCTAGGATTTAAGATTAAAAATATCCATAACCTCAGACATACATGCCCATGCAACTCTCACACACACAAACTATATCATTGTAAACAAGAGTTTGAAAAGTCAAGATTTTGCTTACCCGTTCTAGAGTTTGTATATTGTTCCTATAGCCACAAAATTCTTAGTCTTCAACATCATAATTGTAGAAATCATACAATACAAGTTTAAAAACAAGATGATGCAAAACCTAGATATATCAATTAAGAAACTTAAGCATTAATTATATTCAATTTGTAGATGTGACACTCAATTCATGAAATTATATGGTTAATTACAAACAAAATGGCAAAGGCATAGCCATATCAAATATGAAGCCAACTCCACCAAAGCCTTTAAGAACAATCATTGCTGAAACATGTTTCATCTGTTCAAAACAACACAAACTAAATAAATATTGAAATCATATATTTAAGTGAAACATGTTTCATCTGTTTCAAAACAACACAAACTAAATAAATATTGAAATCATATATTTAAGTTTTCCATCGTGTAAATCTTCTAGCCCTTACCACCATAATCCAAAAAAAATAAAAAATAAAAAAGATGAAGTTAGGTCTCCAAATGATGTACAAACATCAAACAAACATGTGAGGGTGAATGGTATCACCAAACAAAATATTACCTGGCCAGGAGGTGGCGGTAGATTCATTAACGGAAGAAATGTTGATTTTCTTTAATTAGTGAGGGTAAATGACATCACAACTCTTGAAAATATTCATTTTCTTTAATTAGTTTTCCGTGACTTATTCGATTTCATGAAAGACATATTTGTTCAAGTTTGAAAATAAAGCCAACAAATATTGTTTTTTACTGTAGAAAGGAAGAAATGTTGATTTTGTGTCGTTAATATCAATATATACAAGAAGTAAAAAAACATAAACATAAGGAAAACTTACTTTTTGTAGTATAAGAAGTCGAATGGGAAAATGACTTGATTATCCCTTTATTTTATATATATATATATATATATATATATATATATATATATATATATATATATATATATATATATTGCAAATAATTATTGAAGTTTATAGAGAAAATAAAAAACCAATATTTTTTAACGAATATAACTTAAGCGTTTTGTCTTTCAATTGAAAAACTATATCCAATGATTTTGTGAAAAGCTTGATTGAGTTATGATATGTTCTTCTTTTATCTTTTATAGTTTTCATTTAGAATTTAGTAGGGTTGATTAAATGGTCACGACTTTTAATGCTTTAAGTTCTTAGACACAATGAAGAAAAAGAACATAAATTGGATCGATTTAGTAAGTCACATGATTAAGGAAGAATAGTAAAAGAGATATCATGATTAGTTTGGATATAAATGGATCAAAACTACATTGTTTAGAGGGTTCTATATATAAGCTTAGGTACATGACAGCCACATATTCCCTAAGCCATATATATATATATATATATATATATATATATATATATATATATATATATATATATATATATAGACACACACACACACACACATGTTAGAACTAAAAATATAAACAATTTCACCTCATATAAACAATTTTACCCCACCCCGTCGATCCTCACAACGACACGATCCATACTCTCGGATCTGAATTTAACATCTTTACCTAATCCATACTCCCGGATCAGGTTTGTCTAATCCATGCTCTCGGGTTAATGACAAATGATTATGCCCACTCCATATTCTCGAACTAGGGACGAATGACTATGTCTAATCAATGCTCTCGGATCAATGATAATTTTAAAGTTCGACCCTCCGTGTATATCTCATCTGTACTCATAAGGATAAACCACCCGATATTCATCTCAATTAATTAAGGTTTATTTTGTTCCCTAAATTATCATATATATAATTAGATATGCTCTTAACACGTATTTCAAGCAATAACAAATATTTCACATACAAACATATATTTAATACTTTAATCAATACTTGTATTAAAATCATGTTCATTAAAGAGACTATGCGCTCACTTGTTAAAGTGATAACTCTAAACTCGGGCAGCGCTTCGCTTCTAACAAATTTATTTTCCTTCGACAACACTTAGTATCATTACCACTAAATTTTAGTCTAATATTTATTGCGACTAATTATTAGTCTAGATTTATGAGTGATATTGTTTTAAAAGTATTAAACAATACTTTTCAACTACTATGTACAGACAGGCCAAACATGAAACACCGGAGGGTAGGACCATTTTGACATTTAAGCTGTTTTGAAATCCAACAACCCTATGCGGCCCTTCAAACCAGATTTCCCGTACCGTGAGCAGTTAAAATGTATTATAACAACACTTTGTATAATTTATAATACTTAGCACATATATTGTTTATAAGTTCATAATAACGATAATGAACTTAAACATAAGTTATACTTAAAGTAAGGTAAACATAACTTACTTACAATGGGGTTTTAGCTAGGAGTCGGGATCTGCAGAGACAGAACTTCAATACTGAATCTTTCTAAAAAAGATTCTTGTAGCGCTTCAGCGCTCACCTTACTATACTAAAACTACAGAAAGATAAGTTGAATCACGAGGGACCGAAATGCTCAGGGGATAAGAAGAGAGAGACTCTTGAATCAAGAGAATGATGCAAGAAATATGAGAGCCAAGAGAGGTTCTTATTTATAATAATTGAATTTTCAAAAACTACCATCTACAGTTACTTAATGACCTTATAGTTATTTAAACAACTAAACACCCCTTTAGAATACTATTTTAAATAGATTTAACGATATTTATACTAAACTAACGACCACATCGTCGATATCTTTCTAATGGATATATATATATATATATTATATATATATTATATATATATATAATTATATATACACAGAGAGAGAGAGAGGAGAAGATAATATGGAAAACAAAAACACCCTAAAAATCATAAAAATGCATAAAGAAAAATACTTAGAGATCACAAAACTTTTTTTTGATTTTAAATATGAAAAAATCGCAGCTTTTTCTTCAAATTCGCTGAAAAAAAAATCGATTTTTTTTTAGGTTTTTTTTTTCAAATTTTTTTTCCAGCGAATTAAAAGAAAAAGCTGCGATTTTTTCATTTATAAAGTCAATAAAAGTTTTGTGATCTCTAAGTATTTTTTTATGCATTTTTATGATTTTTAAGATTTTTTTATTTTCCATAGAAATAGAATCTAAATATATATATATAATATATATATATATATATATATATATATATATATATATATATATATATATACTTAATTTTAATACGTAAATATGCTATTATAAATTATAACTCGTTCATCCGAACTTCGTTTCTGACGTTCTTTATATCCACACGTAGCTATTAACGAGATTTACAACTCTCATTTAGACTCCGTCGGTTAATTTTGACTTTACTTTTTTTGTTCATATTTTATAAAATTAAATGATTTTTCTAAAATCATAACTTTTTCGTACGGACTCCATTTTTGACATTCTTTTTCTCAAAATTCTTATTGTAAAGTGTATTACGATTTTCTTTTTGTGGCTTTAGATAAAAGTCAATCATTCTCTACGTAGCTTTTTACGTCATACATTCGTTGTGCGCGACTGACTTTTATATCTTATAAAAATCATATCTAATTCATATTGAGTCGATTTCTACGAAATTTATATTTTTGGATCGGGAAGACGTGTACTTTCTAAATATTTATATATATATATATATATATATATATATGTTTCTGCGCACTTATTTTTACAATTTACAGACGATTCGGCCGATCTTTCCTGTTTTATTATACTATAATAATGATGAAACACACAATATTCATATAATC